CAGCAGGAAATACATGTCGTTGATGTGCTTATTATGTGTATACTGCTTGTTTTTCTTTTGGGTCTATGATTGATAAAATTCACCAAGTGTACTGTTAAGGGTGTTTCTTAGTTTTATGTACTCTGGAATATATTTGGTCAATGAATGATTTGATCAAGGACTAAAGGACTCTTAACAGTTGGGAACTGTGACACCATCTTTAGGGTAATGAATTATCATATTTCTTTTTATTTTGTTAACCCATTTGCTCTGCAATAAGCTGCCACACATTGAATTTTCTCACACTGGCTAATATCCTCCTCTCTCTCTCTCTCTCTCTCTCTCTCTCTCTCTCATAAACTGGTTGATGATTTTCAATGTGATAATTTTCTTCTTTGGTTACCTGCACGTTTCATGTCGTCCTTGAATCTATGTCTCTGCAGGTACTTATTATGGACAAACTTACTGTTAAGATAATGTCTTACGCGTGCAAAATGGCTGATATTACAGACGAAGGCGTTTCATGTAAGAATCAAACGGACCTTTCTTGAGAAGGTTTTTTGCTCTTTTGGGTGTTGTCTTGGTATTAGCTTTCTGCCCAATCTATGTTGTTACCAGTTGTACGAAGAAAATGCTACAATGTTATTATCCTCCTCTTTTTTTTTGGTCAATCACAATTTACCTAAACTTAGAACAGCATGCTGCATGGTTTTTCTTATGTTTGTGCTGTTGCTGTTCTGGCATTGCCTTATGTTTGTTTAATCTGTTGTCCTGTCTTATGGGCTGAGGTAAGCATTCAGTGGTCCAGTTAGGCAAACTGATAGACAGTTATATCTCATGTGATTGTAGATTTGTGAAAAAAACATCGTTGACATTTTAAGCTAATAAGTGGTTGCCTGTTTTCTTCTCTCCCTTAAGTTTTAATTTTTTTGTAAGCCAATCAATTATGATTATATATTGGTATTCCTTTTATTACATTTTCAGTAGTTGGTTTTATTTCTACTAGTTAACGGAATTCGTATTTTCTTGCAGTGGTTGAAGACATATATAGGCGAAGACAGCCATTGCCCTCCATGGATGCCATATACTTCTTCCAGCCTACCAAAGAAAAGTACTACTGATTTAATTTTTTTCGTGTTAATTTTTACTATTAATGTTATTAAGTAAATGATGATTGATACTTATTAGATAGATTGGTTCTTCATCCAGCCTTCCAAAGAGATGTAATACTTTTTAAACTTTGTTCGGATTAATTTTCACGACCAATTTTTTAACTATATGAAAATTGATACCTCTTTTATAGGTTAATTGTACTTTTTCTCTGTTTTACTCAGTCTCTGCTTTGCTTTTTCTTGCTAGTTCTTTTTGTCTTTTCCCTTAGATTATATTTAAAAGTGAAATTAGAGTTAGGTAATGAGGGGGCGGAGAGGGGGAGGGGAAGGACTTGGGACTAATGCCCTTTCTTTTCCCCATTGATGTAAGAAGAACTAAGAGCTACCCTTCTAATCTAATGTCATGCATAGGTGGACTGCTTTGTGAATCTGTATTACAGAACATCATTATGCATTATACCAATTCTGTTTTGAGCCCAAACGTGAGAGAGAAAGTGAGAGCACATTTTGTTATTAAGTATGCTGTTATGTAAATGAGTCAATCTATGTGTTGAATGTATTATTATTGTAGCATTTTGGTACTATGGTTCCTTAATGAATCTTTCCAGAATCTAAAACCATTTTTAGTCATCATCCAAATAACTTAAGCTTTAAGGAATATTGGTAACTAACAGAACGTATCATGATAGTGGAGTGAGAGATCCTGTATTCAAATCCCTACAACTTAACCTTGCAGTTTATGTTATTTCGTGTGTTGGATTCTCTAAGGGTGGAGAGAGGCTCACACTTGAAGCGAGGTTAGAATATAAAGTACTTAATGGTGCACATCCGAACAACTTAATCTTTTGGGAGTAGTGGTACAATAACAGAACTTAACAATCACAAGTTGAGACCTCATAATTTAATTGAATTATTAACTACTTGAATTTGGTTGGAATGGTAGTTATTGTGTTAGTCTCTGTTCTTAAACCGCCTGTTTCCGGTTGAATTTCTGTTAGATATGTTTTTGACCCAAAAATGTTTACTTTTTCTTTCTCACCTCTGTTTCTGGAATCATAAGCAATGTTCATGTTTTTTCTTTAAAAAATTATTTTGGGAATAGATGTGAAATAAGAAAATGTTCTCAGTTATGGTAACGTCAAAATTCATTTGTTGCGTTTTTAACATCAGACATATGGATGGAAACCTTTCTAACTCTCTCTCTCTGTGGTGCTAATTTGCAGTGTGATCATGTTCTTGTCCGACATGTCTGGAAGAGCACCATTATACAGGAAGTATGTGCAGGAATATCAGTTATTTTTCTTGTTCTAGTTGTTTGTGTGATTTTATCATATGGAAGTCTGAATCTTTTAATGGTTTCTCCCCGTGTATTTTTTTCTATGTGAAGGGCATTTGTTTTCTTCAGCTCTCCTATTTCAAAAGAATTGGTTGGTCACATCAAGAAGGATGCAACTGTTTTAACTCGCATAGCTGCATTGAGAGAGGTTGCATTTCTTTTTCATGGAAATTTTTTGTTCTTAGATTAGTGATTTTGCCAAACTTTGTGTATCAGCCAGTTGCTTCTTTCTTTGTTATTGCTTAAACGTTTATCATCAGATTCTAATTTTGGATAAATATGCAGATGAATTTGGAATATTTTGCCATAGACAGCCAGGTATGTGCAGTCTCCTGATTTGTAGTCCTTATTTATATAACTAAGATATCCCTTTTTAAAAGAATTTTTTTTTAAAAAAAAATTCACAAAAATTTAAGGTTCAAAACATCTTAAGTTGGAAAATCATTTATAGATTTTTACAGTGATTTTGTTCAAAACTAAGGGTTCATTGACTCTCTATTCTGTAATCGTCTTTGCCCAGGCTTTTGTCACCAACAATGAGAGGGCTTTAGAGGAACTTTATGGGGATGAGGAGGATTCACGCAAAGGAGTTGCATGTTTGAATGTGATGGCTGCTCGTGTTGCCACAGTTTTTGCTTCGTTAAGGGTACATGTTGTAATTGAATGTATTTTGATTGAAGATTTTAGTAAATTTTATTTATTTATTTATTTTTCTGAAGCACCTATTTGCCTCTAATTTCCTAGGAATTTCCATTTGTCCGCTATCGAGCTGCCAAGTCACTTGATGCCACCACGATGACCACATTTCGTGATTTAATTCCTACAAAGCTTGCTGCTGGGATCTGGGATTGTCTCATGAAATATAAAAAAACCATTCCGAACTTCCCTGAGACAGAAACATGCGAGTTGCTTATCCTTGACAGATCTGTAGATCAGGTTTTTAGGTGCATGTGTTGGTTATAAAAACATATCATGCTTAGTGGTCCTTGTCTTTATTATTATAATGAATATTCTCATCTGAATTTTCAGATTGCACCTGTCATACATGAATGGACATATGATGCTATGTGTCACGACTTATTAAATATGGATGGAAATAAATATGTGCATGAGGTAAGTTGAAACATCCATTTATGTACATATGCTTTCAAATTTTGTGATGGATACTTTATCAAGGAACTGTATGTACAGGTTCCAAGCAAAACTGGTGGTCCACCTGAGAAAAAAGAGGTTCTTTTAGAGGATCATGATCCAATCTGGCTTGAGCTTCGCCATGCACATATAGCAGATGTATGTCCTGTGCCTATACTTATCTTCTGGGATTCCTTAGCTTTTTTATTTTTAATCACAAACTACCCTTGTCAGGCTAGTGAAAGGTTGCATGAGAAAATGACTAATTTCATAACAAAGAATAAGGCTGCACAAATCCACCATGGTGCAAGGTTCGTGTGTATTTACTCTTAAAAACTGTTATAAGCGACGTACTTATTTCTTTTTTTTAAATGAATTCAAATTATTTATTTATTTCCTAACTTTCCTTCAATATGGAGATAGCTATAAGACACCATTTTGGCCAGAATCTACATCTAAATGAAAATTGGTTGGCATGTAATATTACATAAAATACCCTTTTATCATTTGAGTTGCGCCTAGGGTTGCTCTATAAAGGGCAATGTAAATGTCTATCTGGGTTTTGCTGACACCTGGAATGACTCCACTGTGTAAGATATTTCCATAATGTGACTGCTCCCCTTCCAAAAAAAGGATATGTGATTTGCTCTTTTAGGATTTTTATTATTGGTATTTAAATTTAACCCAAATTTGTGTATAAATAAAATAATTTGATCTTTAATCATTTCCATGCCTTTTTTTTTTCTTCTATCGATTGTATCATACGTGTAAATTTCTGTTTAATGTTTGGAAGCTTATGCAAGTCTATTTGGTATGTCAATTTCTGTCTGGTTCTGTTTCTCACCTAAACATTCACCTTTATATAGAGATGCTCGGGAACTATCTACGAGGGACTTGCAAAAGATGGTTCAAGCATTGCCGCAATACAGTGAACAAATTGACAAGCTATCCCTTCATGTTGAGGTTAGTTCTTTGATAGAGTATCTAATTTAAAGTATCTGTTTGATTTATAAAGTTCCAACAAGTTAAAAATTGGTTTAAGGATTTAAGTTGCTTAAGTATATACGAAAACAACTTATGACAGTGGAGTCTTATTTGTTGTTCATTTGTAATTTCTATTATCTAATAAGGTTCTTAAAAAAAATGTGTTTCTCAGCCTTTAAACGAATGAATTATATGGATTGAGATATATTCCTCCAACCAATTATCCTTTTGCCAATAGCTTATTTGGAAGCTTTGTCCAAATTTGTTTTCTTTTTCCTCCTTGAACTTGCCAATATCCTATTGGAAAAGATAATTTGAGGTTTCATTTTTACCTAACCAAGAGAAGCAACACAGTAGATCAAATTTCTGTTTCACAGAAAATACTAAATAAAAGTATAACGGGATGGGGTAAGATTTACATTAGAAGTGACAGCATATTGAATGACCAAAAGAAATTTCAAGCTGTTGACTTTAAGTATGATAGCCATGGCTTTAGGCAAAATTTGTTTATTCCAGATTGCAGGGAAAGTTAACAGAATTATCCGGGAGCTTGGGCTTCGAGAACTTGGACAGCTGGAGCAGGATCTTGTTTTTGGAGATGCAGGAATGAAAGATGTGATCAAATTTTTGAATACAAAAGATGTAAGAAACTATAGAAGTATATATATGGACGCACCAGATTCCTTGTCATCATATTTTGTAAATAACATATACCACTTTTATGCAGGATACGACTGGTGAAAATAAGTTGCGGTTGTTGATGATTCTTGCAGCCATTTATCCTGAGAAATTTGAGGGTGAGAAGGGTCACAATTTGATGAAGGTTGGTACCACCCCAGGTCAATCAACGTATAGCCTTAGACAAGTGTTCATTGTGATAAATTTCTTTGTTTTCAGTTAGCAAAATTACCACCCGATGATATGAATGCTGTGAATAATATGAGATTGCTTGGGGGATCATCAGATACCAAAAAAAGCTCAATAGCCACTTTTTCTCTGAAGTTTGACATGCATAAGGTGACTGTATATATTAGAATTTTTCTTTAGTTCTTTCAATCGGTTCATCGATATCTAACAAGAGGCTATTCAATTATCAGAAGAAACGTGGAGGTAGGAAAGAACGTCCAAGTGAAGGAGAAACATGGCAGCTTTCGCGTTTTTATCCCATCATAGAGGTACCTTTTAGTTGGTTTTGTTTGTACCCTTTTGAGCATATATGGAATGAATGGTCTGGCTTGTCATATGATTGGATGTCAGTTTATGGTAATGCTTCCAATCTACCTCTAAAATGTATTGGTTCCTGTTTTTGGGACAATCAAACCAAATATAAATGAGTAGCTTGTCTGTTAATTTGATGGCCATGGTGTTGAAGCTTTTGAATTCAAATGAAAAACAAAATATTAGTACTGATACATATTTATAATTGCTCATGTTAAGGTGATTGAGTTTTGCATTTATAAAACCTTTATGAGAAGGCATCTAATGATTCAATAGTCCTAAATAGAAGCTTTTGTCTCCTTGAGGGTTTACTGTGCTAGCAAAGAGTGAGTCCTTTAATGTTGGGGTGGGCAGGGTATTGTTTCTAGTAGTGTTGTTATTGTTAGAATAGAGAGGAGACTTGGAATCTTGGAATTGCTACTTCTATTTGGCCTGTGCTTCATTTTATTGATCTGTCTTTATAATGTTTTCTTGTATTCAAATGGATCTTTCATCACCATGTCGTGAGTCTACTATGCAACTCAGTTCCAATGGTTAAACCTACAAAGTTACGGATTTTGTATCCAAAATTTTCTCCTTTCAGGAACTTGTAGAAAACCTTAGCAAAGGTGAACTGTCTAAGGAGGATTATCCATGTTTAAACGACCCAAGTCCAACTTTTCACGGGACATCACATGGTGCAGCAATACATCAACCTCCAGTTGCTCATTCAATGAGATCAAGACGGGCACCAACATGGGCACGGCCGAAGAATTCTGATGATGGGTATTCTAGGTATCTTGTTACTCTCTGTGTGCTGAGTTGTTATTCCCTTCATTATCAAGAAACCCTAAATAATCAGGGCTACTTATGGGATTATGCATTGTGAAACCTACCATATATAGTAGTTGTGTGTCCTTCCAATGATTATTTATTTATTTTTCTCGTAGCTGTAATTTTATTTTTTTCCTGCTGCCTGTAGTGATTCAGTATTAAGGCATGCTTCTAGTGATTTCAAGAAGATGGGACAACGCATATTTGTAGTTATAGTAGGTGGAGCTACTAGATCAGAGGTACAAAAGTGTTCCACTTGTCCTTAAATGAAGTTATGATAATTGCTTTTTCTTGTTATTGAGCTGAGAAATCATGTTTCATTTTCAGCTTAGGGTTTGCCACAAGCTCACAACTAAGCTGAGGAGGGAAGTTATTCTAGGCTCCTCATGTCTTGACGATCCTGCACCTTTTATTACGGTAATGAACTTTAGTTTTGATCTTCAAAGCTTGAGTAGACCTAATATCGTCAGACAAGTTCTACCATCCGCACCAATTAGCAGTAATTTTAAAATGCTGTTGGCTGTTTTAATTTGCAGAAACTAAAAATGATGACGTCAAACGAGCTCTCATTGGATGATCTCCAGATTTGAATGTGGAGGATGCCATGGGAAAGGCTGGGAATGACATTGGTTGTCGCCAATCCAATATGTAACCATAGATGCGTGCATCATCTCATTGTATCCATATTCTTTTCCTTTTTTTTTTTTTTTTTTTTTTTTTTTTTAAACCCCCCTTTTTTTTTTTTAAAGACCCTACCTTTTGATTTTGGTAGTGGCGCGTTAGACATTCTAGATGGAGCTTAGGCTCTGTTGTTGGTTCTGTGAATCTGTATTATATTGACATGCTGAATCCAGTATTAATATGACCATTAGAAATTCAAAAATTTGAAGCCTAACAACTTTTCTCGTTGCAATGAGGATTGGCACTTTGTCCATTCTAACAGCAGTCCTGATACTTTGCCCAGGATGCTTAGGCAAATCTCCATGATCATTAAAAACCTGTTGATTTCGCCATTTCCAAACATACCAACAAATGAACACAAACAGGGTGCACCGGTCAAAATGCACTCCACTTGGCTTTAGACAGCAAATTCCTTTACAGCCGTGGTTTAATCGGCAAGAAAAAACGTACTTTGAACATTCAAAAACAAAGCCCAAACCTCCCTAGCCCTTGGACAGAACATGGAGGAGAGATTCAGAATGCCATCCGCAAAAATTGCAAGAAGGGTTAACTCCCTTCTCAACCTCTGTTCATTAGAAAGCGCTTTACCTTGTAGCGCAAGCCAAAGAAAGATTTCCAATTTAGGAGGAATATTCCACTTCCATAACAGCTTCCAGCTTCTCCAAAATCACTAAAGAGAAGATTATAAGCAGATTTAAGTTAGCTGAAAAGGCCCCAAACCCAATGGGATATTTAATAATTCGTTGCACCACCTAAACCCTAAACCCTAAACCACACTCCTAAGACTCTCTCCACATCTCCCTTTCCATCTCGCCATGTAAAACACTTCAGAACCATGTAAAACACTTTTCCAAGTGGAATGATCTAATCTGGTTTGCAGACAAGGATCCAAAATAGATTGTCCCCTAAGGATCCAAAAAAGAACAAAAAAAATATCCAAGTTATTTTGCACGAGCAGCCAAAACAAGAAGAACCCACTCTGTTGAGAATGGCAAAGGTGAAATAGATATGGTGTTTACATGAAATATTTTTATTTATTTAATGCCCATGAATAAAGAGACTCAATGGTTTACTAAGTGTTTTTATTAGACTTTGGGTCTAGTTTCCGTTATATAATTGGATTTTGCTTTGCAGAAACAGGCCAAGAAGGAATGAGGAAGTACCCCCCAGGCAACACAAGAAGGCCAACCAGAAAAAACCCAAACAGGGAATAGTTGGCAGGAAGAAGGAAGTAGCCCCCGGCAGCATGAGAAAGCCAACCAGAAAAAACCCAAGAATGATGGCAAACCGAAAAGAAAGCGGATGTAGAAAACAAGCTGGAATGTAAGACGATGTTAAATGCGAGAAGGAGTAAGAAACCACAAGTGACCATATCAGTCTCTCCCAAAAGCCTCTGTTGGTCTCTGTATTAGTGCATGTTTCTGCAAACTGTTAAGCTTGAATGGATTCTTTTGTTGCACAAATTGGAGAAGAAGGGACATGCATCTGTTGCTTTTTATTAATATTATTGGGATAACTATTTGGTAATGTACGGCTGAAATATTATTGACTTTCTACTACCTTTTGGGACTCAATAGACTCATGTACAGCTGAAATATGCTCATAAGCAATTCTGCACTAAAAGAATACATTTATAACTCAAGACACTTTCTAACTGTTTCTGCCAAATGCATGAAAGCTTACAATAGTTTTTCTATAATAAGGCGGCTTTCATGAAATCGATAAATACATTCGCCAAAAAGGGGGAAAAGAAACAGGAATTCCAGTACACAATTGAGCAACAATAAGACCTAGAGCATTCTAAGAGGCATAAAACCTGGCACCAAATGGCTGCAATTTGGGCGGAACCGTGACAGCTTGGAATATAGGTTTTACTGAGAAGGCCTGCAACTCTAGTACCTATCTTTCTTTATAAACTGTCTTCTAAGTTCTAACTATGCTTTCGATTCTGCAGATTACTACATTCACTTCAATAACCCAAAGCACTAATAAGTGCAGAGTTCTTTTGCCTTTCTACCAAGTAGACTTTCTGCTTTTCTCTTCTTGGTTTCACCAAGCCTCTTTACATAGGCAATGTATCCATCCACATCAAATTTCCTTTTGCAGCCTGCATAGTTCATGTAACGTATTTTCCCAAAAATTGGACGTTCCTTCCAACCCTGAAATGCCATAATGAAGGATCAAATGAGAGAATCTTTAAGAAAAGATGAACATTCTAATTTCTATGCGATTCATAAGCTCATGGAATCCAGGACCACATCTAACCTAACATTTGTAACTTTGTATCGCATCCAGTTATCGATGGAAAGATTCAATTATGGAAAAGTTAAGATGAAATACAGCTGATATAAAACGCATCACCCAAAGCAAAAAGAGAAATGGACACAGACCTGGTCGTGAACACCACATACTGACCACATGCAACCAACATACCCATTCGGATCCCTTCCATCTATTTCATACTGCAAGAGTTATGAGGCAAAGAATCTAGGTGAAAATTTTGTAACCACCTCCATAAAAGCATTTAGAGAACTTAACTTTTTACCTTGTTATTTAGGTATATGGATATTTCAAGGGCTTCTTCAGGACCTCTTGTCCACTCAAGAATCTTTTTTGCCCAATACATCCTGCACATGACTTTCAAAGTCTCATTGGGAGGATAACAAAATCAAAATTTCACACAAGAAAATTTAAAAAAGTAAAACCAACAAATTTTTCTGTTGTGAAAGAAAACATTACCAACATTACGATATTGGCAAGTGAAATGAGAATGAAAAAGTAAAAAGAAGCGTATTGGGACTTAATGAAACACTAACACAGCATGCGATAATAATGTAAGCAAACATAGCAACCACAATGGACATCATGCTCAGTAAATAGCAGCATTGCATAAACAGGAGGACATAACTCCATAATTTTGTTTTTCTTAGAGATTAAGACATAATAATTCAATGAGAATCCATGAAGTTTACAAAGATCAGAAAACATTTATAAGCAGAACAGTAAACCATTAAACCATGAAGAGAATATAATCCATCAAAAGGTTACTTGCCGCATAAAACCATGCATCTTCCCATAATAAACCATCTCCAATTGAGAGGCATTCCAGAGCTGAAAATCAAGAGCACAAGAAATAGAAGGTCAGTAGAGATTGATACAAAAGAGGACCCAAAGACATATAACTGAGTTCACAAACAAATACATAATCTGCACAAAGCGCAATCATAGTTATATAAAGGTTGAACAGGAGGAGGTAGGATAACCTAGGCAATGTTCACATACACCCAAAATCTCATTCAAACAAGACATGAAAGACAAGCCCAGAAAATCAACTTACAGGATCGGCTGTTTGCGCCTTCTCCAATTGCTCCTTACTGCAATTTCAGTATTTTGTTCAGATAGTTCATAACCATCACTTCACAAACAAAAATAGCAGAGAGCAACAAATCAAAACCAAGATACTGACGTGTAAATATGTTCTCGCTTATCAAAAGCATGGTCCATCAAAGTCTTACGTGCCCATTCCCATGCCCCTTGTAATGAATCATAATGAGGCTGGTAGAAGCAGAAGTTATCGGCAAGTTCTCGGCGCACAATCAACTCCTCTACAAATGCATCGACTGCCTTAGATACCACGTAGAAATAGGAGTTAAGCAATATATCATACACAATAATTTAGCATAAAGCAAGAGACGAATTAATGATATATGACAGCAAACTGTACTAGGTTCTTGGTGCCCTGGCAGAGTCACACAACATATAATGCAAAATCTAGAGCAAAAACAAATCAAATAGTCCGACTTCAACTTGATTAAGAGTAGTTAAACCTGAATTTGATATTACTAACCTCAGGACAGAGTTTCCGGATGCTACGTGCCTCTAAGGCGCACCTCTGTGCAGATATTTGCCCAAAATGCAAATAGGGAGAAAGACCCGAGAGACCTCTTGGTTTCAAAGGGTTATTCCGGTCTGACGAATAACCCTTCAACCTTTTCGTCAAGAACCCATTTTTGCTACCCATCAAAACTTCCATTGCTGCCTTTTCTCCCGGTTCACACCAATCGATTTCAGGAACTTCTGCTCCTTTCCTAGTTATACACAAGTACAGAATCAACAATGGAATCCCCAATAATCCCAACTAATTGTCAACCAAAGTAAAATGACACCTAACCTCAAAACTTCGTCAATGAGGCTATCCCAGTCAATCAATCGACTAGCGCCCACCCATTTTGTAACTGGTGGCTGCAGCATAGGAAATTCGATTAGGTACTCTGGAAGCTTTTTGTTTATCTTACTCCTCATAGTCCTAGCACTATACTCCAACTTCTCTGATGCCGCCCAAAGGGGCACCACATTGTGTGCATCAACTTCATGTATTGTCACAAAATCACTAACCCTCTTGCAAATTTCCTCTTTACATTTCCGAACTTCCCGTAAGGGTGAGAAGTCCGTTACTAAAAGTGAAGCCCCACATTCACTCACAAAATTGGGTATAGTGTCCTCAGCATTTCCCTGTGTGTAAAAATAGAAACCAAACAAACAAGTCCCCATATATGAGTTACGGACCGTCATGAGATTCCAGAAAGCCAAATAAAGCACATTATTTCAGGGTAACAATCAATTCCAATTTTTTTAATTCTCAGAAAACACAAACAGATTACAAATGCAAAAAAGACCAAATGGGTATTTGAAAAATGTAGTCTTTCACTTACCCGGAAGAGAAAAAATGGAATTTGATGCGTTTCTTCAAGATCACGATGCAATTGTCGCAAACCCCTCAGCATAAACCCTAACTGGCGGGCTTTGGCGCCAAGAAACTGATCAAACAGATTGAACGCCACAGCCACGGGGACATTGGCCTTGTGGGCCTGCTCAACGGCGTGGATCAAGGCCCAATTGTCTCTAACCCTTTGGTCTCTGAACATCCAGTAGACCACGGGACCCATATTTTGACCCGCCGATTTGGACGCTTCTTTCAGAATCCGAACCCGACCCGGTTGCACGGCGGCGGAGTTAGCGGCCATGGATGAGTGGACGGT